TTTTTAACATTTTATTTTATGTTTCCATGTTCCTTTTTTGGTCCTGACTCCAGTTCTTTCTTTAAAAATATTTCCATAGGAATGAGTCACTTACATTTGCTAGAATTAAAATTTCCACTGAAACAAAGAAGTGTCTGTTAGAAATGATGGTTATGGGAATTTGAAGTTGGTGACATTACTGTGTTTCTGTGTTCCCCAGCTTTCCTTACCCCTTGGGCTCTAGCTTTGTAAAAACTGACAAATAATCCTGCTAAATCTTGGAACCTTGGCATGCCACACAGGCATGTCCCGTAGGCCAAGCTGTCCTTGAGTTCTCATATTTCCAACAGTTTATGTGACAACCTCTATTCTTTTGTTCCTCAAAAATATGAATGTTTATATATGAAATTTACTAAAAATCACTGATAGCTCATTCCGAGCTGAATGCAGCAGGTAGAGGTCAGTGTGTTTTCTTTCTGCGAAGAAAGACGAGAACGTTTTGAGGTATCCTAGGAAACAACAGGGTAAGATGGTTAGTAGTGCAGACTCGAGCACTACTGAGCTGTGGGTGGAATCTCAGCTTGGTCACCTCCTCTGCCATTCAATAGCTGTAAGATCTCAGTCCAGCAACAACTTCTCTAAGCCCCATTTTCCTTATAGGTAATACAGGGTCAATAATAGTATCACCTCCAGGGGTTACTGTGAGGATTAGAAGAGATGCCCCATGCAAATAAAAACACTCAGCACAGTCCTTGACACACGCGAGAACCCAGAAAATGGTGGCCGACTTTGTTACTAATCCCCTTAGTCCAAACCCAGGACTCTAGACCAGACCATTTTCACAGGAATGGTTGTTTCCAGGAGAGCTGTGGAACTCCTTGAAGATCATGCTATCTCTGAGAGACATAATCTACTTCTCCTGATATTCTGAGCACCACTGAACCTGACTGCAGATGTCATCTGTGAACACAGGCCATGGGCTTAAACAGATGCTACAGGTATCTGGCCTTGAACTGGCAACCTCTGCACTATTTTTAGGTTTTATCTGCAGTTGCTGCATTAAGAAAACACAGCTTTAGAGAAATATTCAGTCCTGGATCTTTTCATGTTTTGAATGAAGTTTAATGAGCAAACAGGGAAAGATCAAGAGACCCGAGACCGGGACTTAGGGGAAGCTTTGAAGCAGAAGCCAGGACGGGATAGATGTTCTCTGGAGATGGGCCAGCGTGTGCTTTTGATGACAGCGAACCTTCAGATCTCGTTCATTTGAGCTGCAACAAGGGACTCTGGTAGCAGGTACCTGAGATTTCATCTTCTGTGATGCCTCTGTGTTCCTCATTCAACGAACACGTGTTGAATGCCTACTGGGAGTGAGGAACCTACTCCCAATAAGTATTTATCAGGCTTCTCTTACACGCTTTAAGGAATACCAAGATTCGCTGTCATGTTCCACTTGAGGAAATAATGTGTACACAAACAGCCACATTGGGAGGGGGACTGAGATGTCACCAAGGAGGTCCAAAGGAACCAAGACTGCTGTAAGCAGGAAGTTCGGTGGGAGCTGCCCCTTTAACCATACTGGCAGGATGAGCACAGGTAGAGGTGAGCAGCGATCTCTCAGGTGGCACACAGTGTGAGCAGTGGCTGGGAAATCCAGGGAAAATCTCTTACTGTGAGCTCAGTTTCCCCCGAGGGCTAGTTCTGTCTACTCCTGGAAAAGAACCATTTCAGTGGAAGGGTGGGGCCAAGAGTCTGTTTGAAGTTGGCTCAAAATAGGGTGAAAGGACAGGAACTGAGACCTGAGGGTAAACAACTTTTTGAGATTTCTAATAAAGGGAGGCAGGGCCATAGGGTGGTATGCAAAGCACTCAACACAGTGCCAAGCACATAGAAAGGGCGCAATGCATGTCAGCCAAAGAAGGGTGGCTCATGGGGTGTGCTCGGTGAATGCTGGCCTCCTGAATACGTGCTAACAAAAGGAGACGTAGGCACAGGGGCTGGTCAGGAAGGGCTTCTTGGAGTCTTTTCTTTTGAGTCCTAAAGGATGGAGGGGAAGAGCATAGGGGTGAGAGGGTGTTTCAGGCACCAGCCAAGGCACCAAGGGAGGACTTGGGGGAGGGGTAGGATTCCTGCCAAGCCGGGAGATTTGTGGGGGGAGCAACCAGACTTGAGTAGAGAGACCTGGAGACACGGCTGACAGAAGACTTTGAGTACCAGGCTGTGGCATTTTTTTTGGGTCTGATGAATCATGATGCAGCCAGAGATCTTGAGCCATCAGGGACATAGTGGGAATGTAGCATTCATTGTATTTTTTGACCCATGTGCTGTGTTTCTAGTCCAAAATCGAAGCTGGGCAGGTGACGACTCGGGCCCCAGACTATCTAACGAGAGGCACATGTGTTGTTATACCAGCTCCACCCTTCAGTTTCTTCCCTGAGTTAGGACAATCCTGGGGATAGAGTTCTGGGGGTAAAGATTAATAGGACATCAGAATTCATATTAGGGACTTAAGGAGGAGCAGGGAGAAGGAGGTCTGAGTGGGTGCATTGGGTGTGGGCTTGAAAACAGACTGTTTCTGCAGAAATCTAGGCGACGTTCTCAGCTGGCTACTAGGAGCAGGCTCTCGTGTCTCAGACAGCAGGCTGCAGGCCTCTCTCATTCCCATGAATCGGGCTGACAAAATAGTCACCCGGCTGGGTATTTTAGACTTAGGGTGATTCACCTGGTCACATATGGTACTGAGATTCTGACCAGTCTGGGTGATGAGTCTGGGTCCGAGAGGACAAGCACCAGGCTTTGGCTCAGCTGGACCTGAGCTTGAATTCTGACCTTTCACGAGTCCCTGAACCTTGACTAAGTAGTCAAGTCACATGAGAATATGTGACTTGTGAGGGTATGTGATATTATCCTCACGTGACTTGTCTATCACATGAGGATAATGCTCACTGCGAGGCTTCACTAGCTACAGAGTTTGTTGCCTAAGAAGAATATCTATTACTGCCATTCATTTTTTTAAAACGTCATCCAGTTCTGGGTAGTCAATACATGATGGGTAAATGGAGAGCTATGGGAAAGAAGCAGCCATACATTCTGGCAGGACCACAGCAGTTCAGCTAGCTAAACCCCCTTAGCCTCAGATTAGAGTCCGCTCTTTGGCAATCCTGTTTTGGTCGTGTGTTCCAGTTTGTAAGGGACATTCTCACAAGAGTTTGCAGCCATTTCTGCATTTTTTAGATTGTTACATTATGACTCAATATCCTTTCTGATCCTGAGGCTTTTCACACGGAGCAATTGGGCAGGTGCACAGACAGAGGGAATGAGGAGGCAAAGAAAATGCTTGTTAAGCAGTGGCTTTGGGCTTTATCTGCACTCAGAACTATAGCTGCCTGTTAGGTTATCAGCTGCTGGCTGGGTTAGTGGAGACTCCAGGTAAGTCTCCATGGGCATTAGAGACCCGCTCCACCGTGGAAAAGATGCAGGGCCAGCCATGTGTGGGCAGCCGTAGAAATTCATCGTGGCCCGTGATGGGGGTGGGTCTGGCCAGGCACAAAAGGTATTGCCCTAACTGCACTGCCAGAGTACCAATAGGCTGTTTGTTCCAGAAGTCTGGATTTTCCTTATCTCTCAGGAGGATGGACAGCTCTTTTTTTGTCCTGAAAATGCAGACCCTGCCTGGTGTTATACACACTACTGCAGCACAAGGGGTCAGGAGGACCCTTCCTTCAGGAAGCGAAAAAGCTTAGCAGCAGCCTGGCCCTGGGGGAATCCCAAAGGCTGAGACAAGCATGAGACTCGGATTTGGCTGAAAGTAGATGCCATCACTCCTCTGAGCTGGACCTCAGAGGGGACATCAGGGGTCTGATAGGATTGAATGGGGGAGACGCGGTCCTGGGCCCATGTGAGGAGCTCATGTCTGAGGTCGCACACAGTGACTGTGGTGGCTTAGAGTGGCCCTCCTCCTAAAGGCCCTGCTGGCCGGAGCAGGGACTAGACCGTGGCCTTTCCCCTCAGACACTAGAAGGGAGGGACATGGTTGCTGTATCAACAGCAAGAGCGCTGCATCGTGTCTCTGTCGTCTCAGAGTGGCTTGAGCAGACACCTACAGTCTCATAGTCCTGGGGGTGAGGAGTCCGAGATCAAGGGGTCAGCAGGGTTGGCTCCTTCTGCTGCTGTCGGGGGGGTCTTTCCATGCCCCTCCCCGAGCTTCTAGAGGTTGGCTGGTAATCTTTAGCATTCCTTGGCTTCTAGAAGCATCACCTGCTTTCTGCCGTCATCTTCATGGGTGTTCTCCCTGTATCTGTTTCCAGACTTCCTCCTTTCACAAGGACATCAGTCCTATTGGACTAGGAACCCACCCTATGTCAGTATGACCATTTTAACTTAGATAATTACATCTGCAATGCCCCTATTTCAAATAAAGTCACATTCTAAGGTGCTAGAGATTAGGACTTCAACATATGAATGGGGGGTGGGTGCAAAATTCAACCCATAATGGGTCGGTCCACACAAGCAGGGTCAGCTGACACACACGGTCAGTACCAGAGACTATAACAGGGGAATCTAAAGAGAGGCTCTTTACCCTGCTCAGACTCAGTTTCCCCAGCTGTCACAGGGAGGGGGCCTCCTTCACCCAACATGGCTGTTATGAGGGTCGGATGAGATCACGTAGACAAAGCTCTGGAAACTGAAAATGTGAGTTTTCATTTTTATTCCCTTATTTTGTTAATCAAAAACTGACTCCAGTTTGTTGAAGGCTGTGCTAAACTCTATCTCATCCAGTTCTCACCGCAGCCTTGTGTGGTGAACATCCTCATGTTATGGGTAAGGAGACAAAGGCTCAGATAGGTTCAGTCATTTGACCGAAGTCACATGGGTCCTAAGTGGTAAAGCTGGAACTGAAACTTTGGGCTGTCCGGGTCCCAAGTCTGAACTCTTACTTATTCTGAATATTTCCTGCTAGTCAGGCTGAGTTCTAGGCAGTGGTGAGGCCAAGGACGCAGAAAGAAGAGGGTGTGCTTTACGAGGACAGTAGGCGGAGATCTATGGCAACAACAAGTAAGCAGGGTGTTAGAGGGTAGGGGAAAGAGAAATGAAAAGATGAATAAAACCCGTAGTCCATGCCCCAGAGGAGGGAGGAGGGCGAATCACCGACCTGCTGGGAGGGAAAGGAGCGAGGCTGCAGGGGCAGGTGACTCTGACCGGCCTTGGACTGTGCCCCAGGGTCTGGGCTCTGTTTGGAATTCCAACTATTGCAAGTCGAGTGACCTTGAACAAGTTACTTCTGTTCTGGAAACCTCCGTTTCTTCAACTGTAAAATGGAAATAACTATTTGTTTGCCTTCTTCACAGCCACCTGCCTCTTCTTTCCCCCTAAAAGAACCCCAATTTTTGTTTTGCTAGCTACCCTCCCTCTCCTGTGTATCAGACGAGGTGGACCTGGGCGCCAGCCACATTCGCAGGGACCGAAGCAGGCTGAGCCCACTGTGGCTCCCTTGCTTGCGACAGTGTAGGTATGGGCATGAGATCCAGGTCCGGGCAGGGAGATGTGAGCAGAAGCCTGCTCCAGGGTTTCTGATAAGGTCTGCCCCCATCATGAATACACATATGATATACACAGAACAAAGCTCTCTTCTCCGCCCCAGGACATGCTGTAAGGGTGTGGTATCTGGAAGTGTGGCAGGATCTTGAAACCATCCTGGTTGCTTGTTTGAGGGCAAGGCCAATGAGAAGGGCAACATAAAATAACCTGGATCCTTGATGACTCCATTCAGTCACCGCACAACCACCTCTGGAGTTCTCGTTAAGTGAGAAAATAAGTTTCCGAATGTTTAAGCCAGTGGAATCAGGGTTTTCCATCTGTAGCCCAAACCATCCTAAACGATTTCTTACCTGATAGATTTGCACGGAATAAGTGAAACAACTCCTATAAAGGGTTTAGCACTGTGAAATGTTAACAATTATCATTAATAGAACACTTTATTATGGAATTATATATGCCTTTCTTCCTTACTGGTATGTGTCGTATTTCTCCAAATATGTATGAGAACGTTTTTGGCCAGAACTCAAGCTTCTGCTTCTTTGGTGTCCAACTCAGCAAGTCAAGAAAAATGCCTAGTAGATATTTAACATTTGTTTCATAATTTATATATTCACACATATATACATGTGTGAACGTGTGTGTGTGTGTGTTTTCCCTTAAATGTAACTCTGATAGGCAATCTAACCCAGATGCCCTTGTGAGTTGGGTGGAGACTGTGTCCCTAAGAAAAGTGTTTTATTTTGCCAGGGAAAGCGAATCCCAAGACAATCTCATCTTAGTTTGAAAAGGGGGCAAATGGCAGACCTTTCTCAAACTGGAAGGTGCCAGAATCCCAGGCTGTTGGCGCTGGAGAGGCCCCGGGAACTAGCTGGCCCACCTTCTCCATTTCACGGCCAAGGCCCAGAGGCTCATGGCCACCCAGCTAGAGGCCAGGCCAGGCCTGGAGCACAGCCTCCAGACTCCTGCCTCAGTCCCTTGGCTTGCTTTGTCGTTACTTCCTTGACTTTCTCCAGAGTCATCTTCCCCTTCAACCTGAGGTGGGGGAGGCCCTCTCCCGAGAGCCTGGGTGGCTGGAAATCAGTGGGAATCTGCGCATCCACTCCCTACCCAAGGTCGTTCTGCAGAGTTGCTGCCAGGGACCAGGTGGCCTGGCGCAAGATCTGAGACTGTGCACCTTTGTTGACTGCAAATATCATCCCTGAAGGGTCACGGAGGGCCAAGTGCTGGGAAGAGGCCTCTCCCTGTCCACGTGTTGATCAGCATCTAGTGTGGGGGGCTCCTGACAAGGTTACTGAGGGGCTCCCCATGCAGCTCCATGCAAAGGACGGCACAGCTCCTACAGGCTGAGTGGCGCTGTCCCTCCCAGGGTGGGGTTTGGGAGCTCCTGAAAGACTCTTTCTCAGGCTGTTCTAGGCTGTCTCTGCCCAGGGCTTCACCCACTTCACAGCTTTGTTCTCACCATCTTCCATTTCTGGATGCTCCTGACTCTTCTTTCTTCCCCATCTGCGAGGTGTTGGCCAGTGCACTTTAAATTCCATTACAAATCTTTACTCCTCCATCAGAATTAACAGCACTCTCCTCTATGCTCCTACCATACTTGGTTTATTCCCTCGTCACAAAATTTAATACAAGATGGCTTTAGTTGGGTCTTTTCTACTAGATCAGTGCCTCTCAAACTTAAAATGCATACAAATGACCTGGAGATCTTGGTAAAGCAAAGATTTAGATTCAGCTGGTCTAGCACGGGACCTGAGAGTCTGCATTTCTAATGAGCTCCAGGTGATGCTGACACTGCTGGCCCAAGGGTCACACTTTGGGTAGCGAGATACTAATATGGGAGAGGGGCATGAGAACTGTATAAATTAACTAAAGGCAAACAGAGTTAAGTCAGGGGCCTGCTATGTGCTGCCTGACCGGAGATGCAGGCCAACAACAAGGAGCCTTTGGAACAAAGAAAATTCCTGCAAAGACTGATTAATAGCTACTCACCCATACCTTGTTGTTTACCCAAACCATGGAGGGGGAACAGACCACAAAATACACCTTGTAAAGCTTAAAGTTAGTCCCAGTGTTTTCTCGAGTCTCTATTTCCCCATACCAGCAATTTTCCGTGCAAACAGGTAGAAAAGGCCCACCTGCAGAGACAGCTGTGGTCTCTTCCTTCTCTTGTGAGGACAGTCCACTGCTCTGCCTGAGGACTGGCTTTTCTTGTTTGTCCTCTCTGTTCAATAATACCCTTGCTTCCACTTTAACCTCTTGTCGGGCGCACGCCTTGAATTCTTTCCCACATGCAGCCAGAGCCCTCTCGCACGGGGCTTGGGTCTCCCGAGGGACTCGACCCTCTGGCACCGGTAGTGCTGTTGAGTTGTTAGGGGACAGGTGCCCACGCCACATTCTTCTTTTTCACATTCGCTTAGAGCACGAGCACGATATCCAGCCGATTCTGGGTGATGCATACACATTTGGTGCGGTGGGTTAAGGTGCTGGTGTCCCCTTTAGATGTGAATACATGATCTGGGCAGTATTAGAAAACTCTTGTGGCTGGGGTGGCAGAAAGGGGGGTGGCACTGGACTGGGGCTCACAGGAAGGTGGAATAAATCCTGAGTCGGACCAAGACCTTGGCTTTACAGACCCAGAAACCCAACTTTATCAGTGTGTTTAGGTTCTGAAGGGCCGATTGATGCTAACAGATAAACCGGAAGGCCAACTTACTCATTAACATTAGAGGACATGTCTCACCAGCGACTGACTGACTTCCCCCACCACCCATTACCCTCCCCCCACCAGTGCCCCACCCCCACCCCTTTCCCTGGATTGGAGCAGCTAGGGATAACTTAGCTCAGAACACAGACGACTAAATGAACTTCTAGGAAAAATAAAGCAGTTAAAGGAAAAGCTTGAGAAATCGTCCCTTTTCCAGAAAATTTTCACTTCTATAATAGAGTACTTATTTTCTCTGAAATAGTCTTTCTTCTTGGATAGTACTGGATGAAGAACACAGATGAATTCTGTGTTTCTGGATTCCGTATTGACCAGCCGCTCCCACTTCAGCCGACACCTCCTTCTACCAGGAAGCCCAGCTTTCAAAGTAACTGATTTGCTCACATCTCTTCCCAGCGGCATCTAGTTTTGAGGACACATTCAAGTGGGCATTTTATGGCAGGTGGCGAGTGTGTGGCACCTACCTTCTCTTAGGGTGAGACGCTTCTGCAGAGACTTTTCCATTTATTTGATGCTGACCCTCCTTGTCCCCCAATCCTGGGACCCCTCATTTGGCCTCTTCTCTTGACAGTACCACTGGGGCATCGGGCAGAGTGGGATCAGTGGAGATCCAGGCAGTGGGCCAGCTGGAAAGCTGGGCTCTCCCGCACCCGGGGGTTCTGTCAGCCGAGGGGCTGGCTGGGAAGTGGGGCTCAGAGCTTCGGCCAGCTTCCATGTTTGCCTCATGCAGAGCTGGGGCTCTCTTGTATTTCTTGGGGACAGCCAGCTTGTGACTATCTCAGCATATACTTTGTTACCAAGTGGGACACTAACCACGTGACATCCTGTGAATCACTTCTTTCTGGACTTCAGTTTCAGAGGCCCCGTGGTCTTATTCAGCCCTAAGATGACCAACTTTAAGTCATTTATATTTATAACCTGCTTTCAATTCAACATTTAAGGGAATCCCACAATTCCATATTTACCTACGAGGACAATGAGTCTTAGAGAAGATAAGCACCTCATCTTAAACATCTACCTAGCAATTGGCAACTAGGTCTTGAACACAGGTCAGACTCCTCATTTTCTTAATCACTGACCAATCATGTCTCCTGGGGGTGGACAAGGAGGATCTTTTACTTATTTGTTTCCTTTGCTTTCCCCTTTCCTTTCCTCTCCCATCTCAGTGTTGGGGCTGTGTTCAACTTCTTTGTCTTCTTTCTGCTGAGTTCCCCATGCCCTCTCTCAGCCTTCTTGATCTCTCTTTCTCCTTTCTACCTTTCCTTCCTCTCCCTCTCAATTCACCCCTCCCCCATTTCTTCCTTCTCCCTCCCCTATTCATCCCTCTCTTAACCTCCTCCCTTCCCTACCCTCTCTTCTCCTTCATTGCAGTATCTCTTGGTCAACATTGCTGGGTTCTGCTTTTACAAAGATGTTGCTCCACACTCATGGAAGAATCTGAGGGTCAGTGAGGGCAGGGAGATGGTACCTGGGTATAGCCTAAGCTCCAGGGTGGTGTTTCCTAGTCTGGTGCTGTGGCTTCCAAGCATCAGGTGAAGGATGGCTTATATTCACCCTGGCTGGTGTGGCTCAGTGGATTGAGCACTGGCCTGCAAACCAAAGGGTTGCTGGTTCGATTCCCAGTCAGGGCACATTCCTGGGTTGTGGAACAGGTCCCCAGTAGGGGGCGCACGAGAGGCAACCACATATTGATGTTTCTCTCCCTCTCTTTCTCCCTCCCTTCCCTTCTGTCTAAAAATAAATAAATAAAATCTTTTTAAAAAAAAACTTAAAAGAAAAAGGATGGCCTACATCGGAATCACCAGTGGTAGGAGACAAGTGTAATTCAAAATGCAAACTCCTGGGCCCCAACCCAGAGACTTTATTCATTAGGGTCAGGATGAAAACTTAGTACTCTGTGTTTTTAAGAAGCTGTCCTGAGATGATTATGATGAGTGGCAAGGTTCACATCTGTGCCCACCAAGCCCTGTCCCTGGGGGTGAGTCAGTGAGTGGCCAAGTGTTTATAGCAGTTCCAGGAGGGCTGCCTCAGGTGGTTGTTGGTTAGTGCAATTGGCATCTGCTCCCTCCCCGTCCTCAGTGGGTGTCCCATCAGTGGTATGTCTGGCTCAACAGGGGGAGATCCTTGCTTCTGCCACATTTGGGCAAGCAGAGTCTTCTGATCTGCATTCCAACTATGTTTGATTATAGGTCCCTCAAACCTGAGATGTGTCTATTCCTTTCACCCCTTTAGATGACACTTTCTTCTCTTATATCATTGTTACCCCTGTTATTGGCTCGAAAGGATTAAGAAGAGAACAATTTTCACTCAATGGTCTCTAATAGAACATGAGTTTCCTAATCACTTAGTTTCCTAATTACATTAGATCCCTAATTAAATTAGTTTCATGATTAAATTAGGTTCCTAATTAGATTAGATTCCTGATTAAATACCAGGACTTTCCCACAGGAGATCTCTGGGGGACACCCATGCAAAACTTGGTAGAATCTCTGAAGCCATCTGGTCTACCTGTGCCAATGGATCCTTTCAGCATTGCTGAAAGGTGAACAGTCTCCGGACATAAGCTCTGTGCTGCATCACCAGGCTCTTTGCTGGGATCACACTCTGCCCTTTGTTGACACCATGTGCCCTCAGTGGGGACAGTGTCACCCCCAAGAGGGTAAAGAAATCATGATTTTAGATATTAAATTTTCATGGAGGGAAGGTGATAAAGGAACACATGTTAAAAAAATTTCTTAGGTGGAGAAAAAGACTAGAAAAGTGTTGAGTAACACTGGCTTATGCAAAAGGGTCTGTCTCTGGCTGAGAAGTTAAAGTTATGCGAAGTCATCCGCATCCTTCCATTCTGCATCTCCTATGTCCAAGGATGAAGGAGTCAAAGACCCAGTTCTCCTCTAATTGCAGAGCTCTGGTTATTTGTTCCTCTCTCATAGCTTAGCACTTAGCACTAGTGACCTTGTGTCATTTGTATGTATCTGTTCTGTCTTCATAACTATATTATAAAGCATTTCAGGGTAGAGGCCATGTGTTCATTTGGTAGTTCATACGTTTATTCATTTCTCTATCAAACATTCATTGAGCGCCCCTAGGCACGGGGCTAGATTCTAAAGAGACAAAGAATGCAGGATATGGTCTCCAACTTCAAAGACTTCCCAGTAAGTAAAGAATGTTGAAACAGCGTGACAGCGGTAACAACAGGTGTCTATAAGTTGCACAGAGAGGTACCTTTCCCAGTTGGGTGGAGGCAGTGCTTGAGCTGAGACTTGAAGGAGAAAGGAGCTTCCCAGATAAAGACTGTGGAATGGGGAGAACATTCCAGACCAAACAGGAAGCTTCGGATATGCTTGGAGACAATGGTACATGTGGGAAGAGACTGGAAATAAGGTCAGGACAAAGCAAAGGAACCTTCAAGCTTATTCCAAGGACATGAATTTTTATCCATAAAGCAATGGGATGATGATGGTATAAATCCCAGTGCAAGGGCAAAGAAGACCTATGTCCTAGCTCAGTGGACAGGCTGGGGCAAATTTCCTTCTTCCTCTGCCTTTTGTTCTACCGATCAGATGAAACCCACCCATATTGGTGTGGGTAATCTACTTTGCTAAATCTATTGATTCTCATACAAATCCCATAGATTCACCTAGAAATAATGTTTAACCTGGGCTTCTCAGGAGTGAACATTTTCCTGGCAATTCTCAAATAATTGGGTACCATGTATGCTTACTTGTGGCTCTGAAAACTATTTATACCCAGGGGAATGCGTTTGTACTTAGCCTTTGTATCAGGTTATATGTGAGGACTTGTAAGGGACGTACTATACCTTGTGTGTTCTCCACACTTCCTCTGAGTTCTTCCTTATGTTCTGTGAATTTTGGTGGGAAGTGAGGAAGGTAACATTGGCATCAAGAACAAGCGGGAAGAGAAACAAGGGGGACCCATAGCATAGTCTCTGATTAGGGCAGATGCCCAGGCATTGTGCTGAAGAATAAGCTTATATTATTGTTTGGAAATGGTTGGATAGTTATCAATGAACCAGAGCAGAAGACCAGAACGGAAACCATGACACCCACCCCACCCTAAGTTTGGGTTTCCTCCAAAACCATTTCCCTTCTGAATGTGGATGCAGTGAGCTGGATAGAGGATATAAGTCAGCTGCAGGAAGCTCTCTGCACACTCTAGAGCCTCTTGCCTCTGCCTTTGGTCAGACCTGCCCTCAGTTCCATGGGAGGCTTCGAGGGTCATCTGTACCCAGGACTTTCTCTCTTCTTCTATGGGCTTTATCACGCACGACTCGTTTATAGGGCCTTGATATGCAACTGCCCCGTTCAGTATGCGCCACGCTGTCCCTGGAGCAAAGGAAGATGGGCCAGGCTGCAGCAAATATACTATGTTGGGTTGGTGAAGATACTGAGCGCCTGCATTCTAGTAGCCCAAGAGCTGCACAGTATTCCTGGGCATTTTGTACTCATCACCAATATGTACTATCAGAAAAACTTTCTGTACCGCAAGCAGTGGCAGCATCTCACTATGTATATGACCTTCTTCCTGAGCGGGTGTGCGGATGTGGTGAGCCAGAACCTGCTGCCCCAGAGGTGCGCCGCTCTGGAGCAAGGGGCCCAAGCTGTGGGTGTGTTGATGCTTCTGCTCCTGATGGTGTCTCACATGCAGGACACAGAAGGAGTGGAGCTGCAATCTCATATCCTGCTCACCCAGGCCATCTTCCTGCTGCTGTTCGTGGTCATCGCAGAGCTGTGGGCTCCCAACATGCCACAGCTCTGGCTGCTGAAGGCCTTTTTGTATATGATGATTGGCTCTTGGCTGATGCAGATTGGCTTTATGCTGTACAAACCAATCTCGGGCTATCCATGGATGGACAACGACAAAAACGACATTATATTTGTCACCACCTTCTTCTGCTGGCATGTGGCTTTCATTGCCATGGTCATGGTCTGGGTCTATGGCTTCTCCTTTTGGTGGTATCGTTACGTTTGTTGATGTCTGAACCTCAGCGAGCCCAGCATGGTTCCTGTCACCTGCACGTTCTGGAGCATGTGGTTGAGAAGTTGCAGGGAAGCAGAGCTGTCAGAGAGGAGGACCAGGCGTTCTTCTTCCTACCTGATGCAGCAGATCCTGCAAGGACAGGGCGGCACACCCACCTCTCCCCTCTGGCTTCTCTGTCTCATCTGAGCTGTGTGCTGAGGAAAGGTGAATGACACGTGAGAGGCATGCTACTATGACCATCACCCTCAGCTCTCCAGATGTTTCCCCTACCTCCCCTCACTCTGCTCAGTGCCCGCCAAGGCAGCCTGCTCTCCCGCCCCTTCCTGCCCTCCTCACTCCCCTCCAGGAGAATGTAAAAATGGATGTGCTAAGTCCTGCCTCTGGGTCTCCAGAAATACCCCACACCCATCACGCGGAATACCAGCCAGGCACATTTAGCACATCGTAACCATTTACATACACCATGATGACCACCTCCTCAGCCTTTCTCTTTCTGGACCTCTTCCATACTCACACTAAGTCGGAATGCCATCTTGAATGCATTGAACTCTGAGAACTATTACTGAGTTCTTTGTTTTCATTGCTTTATAATTTGTCAAAATGAAAGTCAGATCCCCTTTTTCAGCTTTGTTGAGGTGTACTTAATATATTTTAAAAAGGCACATATTTAATGCACATACTTTGGTGAGATTGGACCTGTGTGATACCAGGATACCATCCCCACGATGCTTAGAGGCAGTTCCCTCTGTGGGGTCTGGTAGGACAGAGCAACACGCTGCACACAGAGGGGCTCAGAAGGGCTTGTCTGCTCCTGGGACTTCTCTAGCTCTGCCTCCCTCCGTGTGGTCTGCAAGGTCTTCTATCTGTGTAGACCTGCCCATTGCTCTGTGCACACCCCAATCCATTTCCAAGTGGTAGACTCACCAGGACCCACTTCTTTCTGGTTTGCATGAAGAATACAACCCATAACTTGTTGATTTCATGTAGTTTTCTTTTTCATCCTACAGTGCCCTGACAGGTCGGTTTATAGATGATAATCTAAAATTCAAAGAAACTGGCTTACAGGTTGCTAGTCATTTTTCCCTGTCATGTAATGCTATAGGCGAGTGTCAAGGAGGGCTGGAATTCTGAAGAGTAGAGTTGAATTATTGAGAAATTGCAAAACTGTCTCTCTGTCACCCATTCTGCTTCTCTCTTTGCTGTCCCCAGGAGATGGAGCATCTGTCAAGCTTCCCTTTCTCCCAGTCATGTCAGACATGAAATATCAAGGCTTAGGACCGAGTGAGGCTAAAGCAGGGATTTCAGAGAAGCATCTTCCTGGTTTCCCTTTTGCTTCTAGTTCCCAGGAGAACTAGATGAATCCTTCTCTTTTTTTGTAAATTTTCTGGCTCAAAAGTTAAGGGGTAGCAGGGGTGAATTATTGCCTGGTTGTTAAGGGTCCCTACTTTCTGGTTTGGGAGGCTGGTGAGCATCCTGGGTTATTGCAAAGGGAAGAGGTGCTTCGCAGTGTCATTTAGATGGGGCTCAGCAGTGTCTCAGCTGGTGGGATGGCATGCACGTAGCTCTCCGTGGAAGGCTTACCCCTTGCACCATTGGGGTGATCAGACAGCAATGCTGCTCTCCCCTGGAGAAGGAAATGAAATAGTCCTCAGGCTACCAACCATCTGCAAAGCATCCCCATGGAGGGGGCCCATGCACCAAAAATCGTTCTGAGATTGCAGCTTTGAGAACGGTGGCACTCAGTCCCCGTTTGGACTTGCTGCCTGAGAGCGCCCTGGGACTCTCCAGCAATGAAGGCTCCCAGTGTCTCTAAATGGAAGATACCCTCCTAGCCCCGCACCAGCAAGGTGGCCCAGGTTTCTCCAGCCCTGCTTACAATGGGAATAGGCTCATTTGTGTAGGTTAGGGCTTGGAATTAGGCAGATCCCTTGTATCCACAAGATCCTGCTCCCACGACCTAGCCTCTCCAGACACTTGCCCGGTTCCAGGCTCCTGGCCACCCTGAGCTCCATGGCCCTCGCTTGCACAGTACACACCTTGTCTGCGGGTCTTAGGAGGCTGGGGCTTCCAGGCCTGTGGAGCTGGGGCCCTTCGTTCAGCTTCTATGCTTCTTCTTGGTCCTAGTGGCCAACAGAGTTCAGCAATGTCCCTTGTAGGTTCTGCGGTGCTCCTGGTTGGACCCTGTGGTGTCATCCCCTTGTTTCTCCCCCACAACCTTGGGTGTCTTTCCAGGCCTTGCCCAGCCTGGCAGCTCCTCCTTCCTGCAGCCTAGCTGAACCTCCTCCAGTGACCCGAACTTGGGGGGAAGGGGGATCTGTGTTCCTCTATACCCTTTCCCTGTGATGTGGCAAAACTCTACTTGCTACTTCACTCAGGCCTCCTCTTCTTTTTGATATTAAGAGCATATTCTTTTCTTTAATTTTTAACCTAAAAATGATATTGTTTTTACCATTATATTCAGACCTCATCTTGAGATAATATCTTTCACTAATTAGGGGAAGTTATATACAATGGCAGAAAAGCAAAGGCCACATAGTAACATTTTGCCATATTATCACTCTGCAAAGGTAGAAGTGGAAGAGATACCAGAGCTACTTGGTGACAGACCTGACCCATTTCTGAGTACTTTTGAGGTCCTGTTAGATACTGATGAGCTCATTCTGCAGTAAATTAATGGCTAGAAATATTATTTCTTACAACATCTATCTTTCAAGTAACATAATAAATATTTGCAGGGGTCTACAAAGCCACAAAGGGTGTTTAATGGGGCCTGATGTAATAATGGTGAAGTAGACGCCTTCCTGTTTGGAGGGTAAGGACTTTATTCCCACATCACAGTCTGCATGAGCACTCTGACAGTAATCTGAGCCCTTGAAATGTACAACGAACTGAAGATAAATTTGGGGGAAAACAAAGCAACAACAGTAATATCCCCCACCCCCCAAAACCAAACCAGTCAAACAAACAAAACAAATAAGGTTTTGGAGAGAAAGGTGTCATCTTCACTGCTCTCCACCAGAGGGCACAATCTCTACAGGAGCCCAAAAAGGGCACTTGCTCTCCATTTGGCGTTGAACTATCAATTTAATAGAAATGCAGGAGGGATGAAGAGGAGGGAAGAAAAATACAGAAGTGAGTGCTATCCAGGCACCCATGAATATAAGGAAGGTCTGCTTGTTTCCTGTTAAACTTAGATGTGTGGACGCGAAGAAGCATAGCATTTAATCAATAGATACAGATTATACTTACAGGTCAATAAACATAGATACATATGTAGATATCTAGACATATACAGATATATAGATATGTGTGTATCTCAAGAATGCAAGTGTCAAAATATGAACTAAAGTCAGTACTTTTTAGCCACCTTATGAAAATCACCAAAATGTTCTTTTTTAGCCTATCACATAATAAGCATGTAATAAGTAGTTGGTGAGTAAGTAAAGAAAGAATCTAGTACACTAGCATCGATGAGGTGTCGGTTTAATGCTGACCTGCGTTTTGAAGGATAAATAGGAGTTCTTCAGAGGGGTTCAGGCAGCCATTCTGAGGGCTTGTAAAATCGCTGTACTCAGACACCTAACTTGGCCTTGCTGCTGCAGGGATGGGACTTCATGGCTCAGTGCTACCGAGGAAAGCACTGAGTTCCCAACGCCTAGGGAGGGAGTCTGAGGAAGAGCCACACAGAGTTGTTCTATGGAAAGTTTGATAATTTGCCTTCCAATTTGGAGACAGAAGGTTACTAATGGCCTCTGATTAACTGAGGGGGAACCTTGGGCCAACACAAAACATGCTTGCAATTGCTTGCATTGTATTCAATATTCAATATGTCAATATTATGGTACACATTTAACAAACTAATTACTAAGCTCTTCACCTGACATGTAGAATTATTTATAAATGCAGTAATTTTATTTACAGTTGCTTTCACTTGTTCATTGTTTTTCAATAAAATCATAAATTTGATGAATCAGATTTTCTGAAATAGATACCATTTCCATATTTTGGAAATTAAAATTCCTTAGATATTTCCTATTTCAATTTTAAAATGTGATTCTCCTAAGTATTTTAAACACCTACTAGGGCATATTTACAAGCCTAACAAACAAAATCCTTGTAAGGACTTAAAATGGGGTTTTGGAATTAAGCCTGAGTTCACATCTCAGCTCCGACACTTACTATCTGTGTTTCAGATCAGAGCCAGCTTCCACTGATTCCCTGTTGGGAACTGCCCTGCCTGGTATCAGAAGCTGTAACCCCTGCCAAGGCTAAGGCTGAGGGAGCGACCTTGGACCGTAAGCCACTAAGGAGACAAAAGCTTATCACCCTGGCAAGAGCACCACTTCTGCTCCTTTTACTTCACACTGCCTGACCCCCAATGCTTGGTCGGTTAGCCAATGACGGGTAAGATCCCCCAAGGGGGAAACTATCTAAGACAGGCACAATCACATGGGAGACCCCCAAGGAAGGACTTTGAGGGGTACAGCAAAAAAGGGTGATGGACCCTCGCTCCTCGGCTTTGACACAGCCTGAGTCCTCATTGTCACTGAGAAAAATCTCCTAATCTCTTGGCTGCCTTACTTCCCTTGCTCCACCTAAGCCTGAAACAATGGCAGAGGGTGGTGCAGCCCTGTGTTGGAAAGGGCGGGTTTCCCAGGTGATCAGGCCTAAGAAAGAATGTAAAATCCTGTGAATCCTGCTTTGTTTAGAATGCTCTCAATTAAATGATAAGGGTCCAAGGAAGAAGTAAGTTTGTTCCTCAAAGTTTTACAGCTCTTTAGCTATCTGACCCAGACTCAGAATAGGCCCTCAGAGTTCTTTGTTATCTACTGTTTGATCCTTACTTCCTGGCAATGATTAATGAGCTTTACCTGAATTCCTGTGCAAACGAACCCAATAAAAGCCTGCTGGGGTGGGAGAACAGGGTGTTCTCCACTAGTGAGAGTGGACGTTTCGTCCCTATTTCTCCACAGGACTTGGTTGTCCGTGTGTAT